CACATTTAGGTTGCGGAAAAAGGCGTTTGGGCTTATGTTCGTCGGACAAAGCACTAAAAAAGTACAAAAAATGGTTGATCCCCGATGTCTAACGCTACTCCTCACTTGAGGAGACAATTTTGAGATTGTGGGGTCAAGCTGCCCGGCTGCACCATACATGCGACTCCACTACGCGGAGGAATAAAGCGGACAGTCTTTGTTAGGTGACCAACTATTTCCTACACTTTTGGTAATATTCCAACCAAAAATATTCGGTGGCCAGAGTCAACATTAGAAAGCGTGGGGGGGGGGGGGGGGAGGCAATTCAGCACGGGGGCGGGAATGGACAGGACGCTCACAAAATAATACAAATCGACACCCATGCCAGCATCGCTTAGCTTTTTATTCAGGCAAGGCTTCCTCGCCAAATTTAATGAGCCTGGAAAACCTGAGCATTTTCAAAATTCTTATTCGATCTAAAAGAAAACTGTGGCGTCGCAGCGCACAGGCGCTGTGCAGTCATACGGCCAGAGCCGGCCGGCGCCGGTGAATGTGCCCGCGAGAGCTCGTGTGAAACATTGCGTGATTCTTGAAACACTCTCCGTTAGAACAGCGCACAACTTCGAGTGTCCGACACCACGTTCCGGCAGCGGATCCGACGGCCACTACAAGAGAGTTCAGTTGACATTGTACCCTTGTTTCCAGTGACAATACGTACACCTAGTGCTAATTGCATTATGGTGCGGGGTCAGCTACAAAAACATGTTTCGTTCGGAAATGAAGATCCTTCACCCAGCTCTGTCACACGCGGCATTTTCTATTCAATATATATCTTTATTTAGGTTTCTTGCTTCTTTTCTCGCCTGGAGTTATAGAAGCACTGGCTGCTCACTTTTTTCAGGAACATTGTCACGCTCGCCCGACGGATTTCTCACAGACACCACGCGGCAGTCACGTGGTTTCCAAAGCCCAGCTGACATAACAGTATCAAGCGCCGTAACGGACTCAATTCAGATGAAGTACCTGCATGGCTTTTGAAGGTCCGTGCTCGCACATGACGTTGTGTAGTGCACAATGTTATGGATACCTTTTTAGAGATGGCAGCTGTACTCACAAATAATGCACCTCACGGAAGGGAAAAACAGCTCCTTAGGGGTAATATGTCTACGGGCAATAATCACATTTGCTGATATCATTTAAACATGTTGTTGATGACAGCTGTTGGTTAATTGGCCGACAGTAATGATCTGTAGATAACTACCATGTAGACAATTCCCTGTCAAAACGACTAGCAGGGGGCAACTGCAAATGGTGGCGACAACATGGGCGCACCGACATAACATTGGTTTTTACGAAACAGATGGTTTCGTCCTAACATGGGTAGCATACCTTACTTTACTAGGATTCCGCAACTAGCATTCATACATTCACACTGCCTCATCCATGCTCGTCATCGGTCATATCAAAGAGAGGCATACAGTGTGGTCACTACACACTGTCCGCAGCTTACGTACAGCGACCAGACCCTCTCAATTATAAGCGAAACCCTACAGCCATACACCACGCAAACATCGGAATTTATCCCCAGCAAATAGCAGCCACCTGTTGCAAGGCTCACTACGGCATCACCACGTAGCAGCCACCTCCTTTCGTCACAGAATAACGCCGGAATCCATCATCGGCACGCCGGAATCCCTCATCGCCCTGTCATCCTCAGTCGACGGGATCCCTCATCGGCATCTTATCCTCAGTCGCCGATCCCTCATCGGCATCTTATCCTCAGTCGCCGGAATCCCTCATCGGCATCTTATCCTCAGTCGCCGGAATCGCTCACCGGCTCATGTGTGCGGAACTCGCCTTCCGGGGTCACCGTAACATTCTAACAGCAGTACCCGCAGTGACCGAATTCACTGCTGCTGCTCAGGGTCATTTGCTCATGGTCATCTTAACAGACCGTCTTCTGTGGTCGCATGTTAATCCACCAACGGAAAAAATCACCCAACTTTTCCGACAGCTCATCACCCTTTTCCGCCTTCTACCTTCTGAGAGTCGTAAAAGAGCAGCTAAAAAACGAGCCTCACGTTCTGCAAGTCGCGAGTCCATCAGCGGTACCATACACGTGCTACTGCTACCCTCACCAGCGGCCAGCGAAGTGCACAAATGCGTCTCACCTCACCTGTGAGTCGCGGAGAGATCGACCAGCAGCCTGATTTCTGTAGGGAGTGGGATCTTTCAGCCCACGTCGCATTTAGCCCGTGGCGACAAAAATCCATATATTAAATTCATGGAAAATTAATAGCTGCCCCGCGCTGTGCACTGTATATGAGCTAAGCAAGACAATTAATTTGCCTGGTAAACATGGACCTGACCACGACGCGCTCTCTCTCATGGCACGAAATTCAGGTCGCACATTAATCTGCCATTTTCCTTTAGGCTGTTCACTGAAGCGCAAAGAAAAATCACACGTGTGGGTCGGCACGTCATATAACAGCACACATTAGCGCCAGATTTATATATTAGACACGTTAATTATTGCGATGCGATGCAAGCACTAAAAGAGAGCACGACATACAACAGATCAGCATTGAGGTGCGAGCACGTAATATCGAAAGACCTTCAGAACGCTTATTCTTAATTATCTTAACAGAGAAAAAAGGCCGAGGATCTCAGAACCGCCGAAGGGTCGGTGATTCCTCCGCCGGGCTTACATGCCGGGGTGAAGGCGCCGGGTGTCCAGACGTCGGCGCGCCAGGCCGATATGGTCTCCCATCACCGCCTCCGTGTCAGCATCCCTCTCACTGCTACTGTACTGAACCGTGGCCATGTACTGGTTGAACCTCCAGGTTGGACGTCTCCTACTCCGTTGAGGTCGGCGTTTTTGAACGACCGCCCCCTATTAATCGCCCCGGTGCGCATGTCCGGAACGAGCACTCGGAAAAACGTAACAACAAAAACCGTACCGCACATTGGAAAAAAAAACAGCATATGGCCCTCGGCGGTCAGATATGCGGCGCGCAACAGCTCTGCTGCATGCGACTGCAAATGTATTGTGACGAAACAATAAGGGCGCCGACACAGTGAGCTATACCGAAGTCACATCTCAGAAATATGGTACAAAAGATGCATTTTGAGTGGGCTCATAGCGAGACCACACACCGATGCTCATTTAAATCTAGAACATCGTGCATAGATGGGGAAAAACAAGTGGGGAGCAAATGTAGTGTGGGTGTCACCGTCCATTACGACCGACCACAAATGTCTGTTGCGGTAATGGCACGCGTGTTGGTTTCCGAATCAGAATATCAGAAACCGCGTCTCGGTTTCTATCCTGAGTCATCTACAGCATTGGCAAAGCTAACGGTAAGAAGGTTCAAACCCATTAAGCCATGTCGAGCGATACGCAGGAAAATTTACCGTACTGAGAGTATTCCCGAACTCTGTAAGCTGGACGCAACTAGATGCCATGAATAATTATCACAAGGGTGTAGTTTTGCTAAACACGTTACAGGGCTGGGCAGGGAAATGCTTAAACCTACACCCAAACCACACTAAAAGACGTGCTTCTCTCAGGACTTGACCCACTTGTCTCTCAAAGTTGTGGGGGCGGGGGGACTGGTGCCCTCTCCGCCCAACTGAATAGAAAACTACGTCACTGAATTATTGCTTATATCGGCGATCCGAGGACCAGCATTAGGTCGGCCGTGAATGAAAGGCAGCCCGAACTGCTCCAGCACGTGCGTGACCTGCACTGAGGAGCCTGAAGCCAGCAGCCGACAGACTGCACTGACCACGCCACTGCCCGATCTGGCATGGCGTACGCCCATGCAAGCGATTTGCTGGTGCTATAAGCGTACAGGTTTTGCGTGATTGCTGAGTGGTAACGAATCGCAGCTGCATATGTTGGTGCGGCGACAGCTCACATCAGAAATTTACAGAGGTTTCAATGCATTTCAATATCATGGAATAGTTCTCTTGTCCTGGTTAGAGCACCTGCCTTCCGATCCATCCACCCGTGGCGGAGTGGATTCGAATCGCTTTAGGAGCTCGCTATTTGACCTTAACAGGTATGGCCTGCGGTCGGTATCAGCAGCCGTGCGAAGGGTCAGCTGACGTCAGAGGGCCGGACAAGCCGTGCCAAACATTGTTGCACGTTAACTTTTGCGACTTAATTCGGCCGTCGACCTGGAACTGTGCCATCGAATGGTAGGGGTTAGGTCCCACACAAACAAAGACGGGCTCACGGAAGCACAGCCACCAAGACGCCCGGCCACTCCCAGGCAGCCGCCCGGCTCGCGGTCACAGGCGCTCAGAAACAGAGGCAGCGCCGAGATTCAGTCGCCCTAAGAAGCTTAAGTTCGCGCTGTCTCAAAAATTGTCGAGCAGTGCCTCGCCAACTTACATCGTGTCTCGTTCCAGGGGCATCGCCACAGTTTGGCGCGGAGGGCTGCGAGAGTACTCGGACGGACGGCCGGGCAGCCCGCGGCCGAGGAGTGAAAGCCATGCTGCCTTGCTGCTCTGATGATCTAGATCGTATGCCACGCATCAGATGCGTGCAAAAGTGTATGGGTTCCGGACAATGGCCCATCTCTTGGAGATACATCTTCAGGTCCTGTCCTCGGTCACCTCAAAAGATCAGTGTCCGGCGAGACCAATATGGCCCTAAATATCAGCTCAGTAGGAGCCTTCATCATCAGCTGAAGGTGTGTGCATGTGAAAGGTCCTTAATATTCATAATTATATGACACACCATACTCTGAGTGAGATGCCACACTAACACACCAAGCCAGTGACAAACGCTCTTTACTTGTTGACCGCGTGGTGACGAATCACGACTGCAGGTGTTGGTGTTGCGCCGACTGCTCGCACTAAAAACTTACAGACGGCTCAACGCATTCAAATAAAACAGATTGGGTCTTATGTGCTGTGTTAGCGAAGGAAAATATTTGGATTGGTACGAACTACAAACACAACACACCAGCCTTTCACCTCCACGTTCGTCCATATAGTAAAGGCGCAAGATGTAAAGATGTTCATTGCATCATATATTTGAAATGCACATGTTTACAGAAACAATAAAGCCACCTCGGCAACATAAATAATAAACAAGCTTCACGTTAGTCACTTTTGAATGCTTATTAGCAATATGGCATAGCTGCTGTACAATTGACTTTACTCACGTGAAGTACACTCTGGCTGCTCATTTCCACAACGGTCATTAGACACTTGACAAGGCTTCACAAAAAGCACGTGACATCATTCACCCTCATCTGTGGTCGTCCTCATGCCCTTCCGTTCAGGACCTGGCTACCCTGAATCTGATCTTTGATTGACGGCTCCACCAGGCCCTTGGCGCCGACAGCCGGCGGCTCGCTAGCGCCACCATCCAGACGGTTGTATTTCTCCACAACCCGCGAGATGGCACTGCCACTGCCGCCAGACGGCCGCGCGGGAGGAGAGCGCAGGCCCGCTCGCGGCGCACAGGAGCCCGCCAGGCCGCACGCGCCTTTGAAAAACTCCACCTTGCCGTCCACCACATCGATGGAGTCGTCGCGCACGAAGTCGAGCGACTCGGAGTTGACGCAGTAGCGCTTGCCGGTCGGCTTGGGGCCGTCCTTGAAGACGTGACCGAGGTGCGATGAGCAGCGCGAGCAGCTGACCTCGGTTCGCTCCATCCCTGGGTTGGCAATCAAAAGTAGGAGGTTGCCGCCAACTGAGTCAGAGAACATAAGCCAGTTAGCTTCCTCGTTGAGTTAGTAAAGCAGCAGCGCCACCTATAGCATCCCGGCAATATTTATAGATGGACATCCAGCCACCAAGGAACCGCAGCTAAGGCTCGCCGTACACCCAACGTTAATACTGGCTGGAATGTCAACCAGCCAAAGCTCCGCTTAGCTCAGACTGAGTGTGGGCTAATCATGCTATGAATCTTGTTAAGCCAAAGCATCAAGCCTTGAAATACATCCGCGGCATGATGAGCACAACTGTGCTTGGATTTTGTCGTTCGAGCAAGAAATCATCAAGCGTAGTTAAATCCTTTCAACGAATTGACCATTTTCATTCGTTTATCAACCAAAGCTTCTCTGTACCATCCATAACGCAGTTGAGGGACGTGACACTGTGACTGTGTAGTGACACAAACACCTTTATATAACACGCACATGCAGGCGGCTGATCTCCAAATCCACATGTAAGCACCATCTTCGCATGCATACACGGTGCACAGACGCATGCCTTTGTGGGCCAGTCCATGATAAGACCGCTTCCCACACAGCTCTGATTGTTTGTGCCGTTGATTTTGTCAGCTCAGCAGCCGACCGCCCACAGATGAGCATATTATCGCCACGGCGAGATCATGAGTGACGCGCAGTGAGGGGCAGGCTTCATATCCGGGGACGGACGCGCCACGATTTTGTTCCGATGTTTATGCGTATCCAAAACTTCGTTAACAAATACTAGGAATGAAACTACTCCAGTGGCATGCTAAGACAAAAACAGCGCGATAGCTTATTGACCTTTCACAATGTAAACTGCACGAGTCCCGCGTGTCGGCACTGTTCTAAAAGGACTCTGCTACGTAACCATGTCTCTTGAGGTAACGACCAAACCCCTCATGCTCCGAGCCTTAATCAATTTTTGCGCGTTACAGCGCATCCATATTCAGCTGCAGCAACGCCCAAGTTTAGTTTCTATTGCAGGGATGTGAAGCTGCCATTGTTGGATCTGCTTACGCCGAGACGATATGCCACATGCGTCAAACTGCAGTTAGTCACAACACCAGCCGAACTAAAATTGGTTGCCTTCATAGTGGCGGGAAATCAGATCAAATCCAATCAAAAGTGACATCCAACGCATCAGACGAATACCAAAGCTCACGCATCTCCAGCGCTGGCAGTGTGACCAGGCAAACATTGCGCTATCGACCTTTTGGCACCCATGTTCATCAGCCGACATGCCAGCAGCTGTGCGTCACCGGCCCACCGTCTGCTGTGCGTCGCCGACCCACCCCGTCACGTCCTCTCGTCCGACCAAGTTATTTTTACTACCGACCCCAAATGCCGCACGCGTGACTCAAGCGATGAACTGTTGATAGGATTAATCTGGCAGCTCCCGTCTCTCACCGTATGGCAGCACGAGCCGGATGTCGCAGCCCCATCACCAGGTGACCACATGCAGCCGGCACCCGAGCGCGCGCGCGGCCAGCTCAACGAGTCACCGTATGGCAGCACCAGCCGGATGTCGCAGCCCCATCACCAGGTGACCACATGCAGCCGGCACCCGAGCGCGCTCGCGGCCAGCTCAACGAGGAAGCCAAGAATAGCGACTCGTACAAAAAATCGGGGGCGCCAGGCACAAGAAGATGCGTCGGGGGACAAGGCGCTTGTCCTGCCTTGACACAAGATACGTTAGCTGGTAACGATTTACGATCGATAACAACTGACGGGGGCGGAGATTGACAACAGCTCAAATGTTCGCGAATTAATGCGTATGTGCGCGGGTGAAAAACCATGATTTTTGCGTTGGCGGTTTGGCTCAAACCACCCAAAAATTAATTTACGGGCAACAATAGTTGCTGAATTTCAAAATGTTATCATTTACAGCGAAACATTGTCAACTTGCCCGTGCACCCACTACTGCTACCGTCCCTGTGCCAGTACAACAAGCCACTCCTCCACAACATGCGGTGCAGACACGGCAAACGGTTCAGCACCACCACGACCGCATTCCGCACATACCATGGGACAGGTCTGACTTGAGCTTGACCCGACCGGCGGCGATGACGTCATAAAAGCTGGGCCAGCCAGAGCCGGAGTCATACTTGACCGCCGACGAGAAGATGTCCTGGCCACACACCAGACACCGGTAGATGCCAGGCTCCTTGTGCTTGTTGAAACGCCCCGTGAAGGCACTGCAGGTCACAGGTCAAATTCAATGTGAGTCGTGACCTCACCTGGCCTCGCGGACACCACGCGGTGGGCGGCGCAGCGGGACGTTGTGCGAAAACAAGTAAAGGTGGATGCTGAGCGGCAAGGAGGTGGGGGAGGGGGGGGGGGGACCGCTAAACACACTGCAGGATTGCGTGTGGACAAACATATAGCGAACGGCATCGTTTGTTCCTGAGAAGGCACGACGTTCTCTGACCATGACTCATGGGCCCACCGCTTCTCCTGTCCGTAGAAGCCTACGCCGCATCCTGGCAGTCCGTCTCCGCCCGGTAGTACGCCTCATTCGACAGTCTGTCTCAGCCCGGTGGTACGCCACATCCTGGCAGTCTGTCTCCACCCGGTGGTACGCCGCATCCGACAGTCTGCCTCTGTCAGGTGGTACGCCGCATCGGACAGTCTGTCTCCGCCCGGTGGTACACCTCATACGACAGTCTGTCTCCGCCCGGTGGTACGCCTCATCCGACTGTCTGTCTCCGCCCGGTGGTACGCCTCATACGACAGTCTGTCTCCGCCCGGTGGTACGCCGCATCCGATAGTCTGTCTCCGCCCGGTGGTACGCCTCATCCGACAGTCTGTCTCCGCCCGGTGGTACGCCTCATGCGACAGTCTGTCTCCGCCCCGGTGGTACGCCGCATCCGATAGTCTGTCTCCGCCCGGTGGTACGCCTCATACGACAGTCTGTCTCTGCCCGGTGGTACGCCCCATCCGACAGTCTGTCTCCGCCCGGTGGTACGCCGCATCCGACAGTCTGTCTCCGCCCGGTGGTACGCCTCATACGACAGTCTGTCTCCGCCCGGTGGTACGCCTCATACGACAGTCTGTCTCTGCCCGGTGGTACGCCTCATACGACAGTCTGTCCCCACCCGTTGGTCAGCCTGTCGAGAATCCCCCCCTCCGCCCTCCTGGCCGCCAATCATCCAGCAGGAGCGGCCAAGGTCAGCGGGTCAAGCCCGTGAACTGGCCGCCGGAGCGGGCGCGCGTGGGCGGCCGCGGCACGGGTGCAGAGCTCCGCCGGTGTTGGCCGATCGCTCGCCACCATATGGCAGCCGTCCCAATGCTCACGCACGACGGTAAACATTGTCAGCCGCGCTGAACCACTCCGGCTGCGCTTCTGCCCGCACAAACACGTTTTTGCGCGCACGTTCTGTCATGCCCTCGTTCTTTTTCGAGAGCTGCGAAGTACTCCGATTGAGCAGCGGGCGGTGGACCGGATGTTCCGCAGAAATGCAACGTTGCATTTAAACAACACTTGCCGAAGGGCATGTTATCTGGTTCGGGAAGGATTTGTTCCTCAGACTCGGCTCAGCAATGCCAGCAGGGCAGCGCCGGGCGAGCGGTGCATCATGTTTACCGATCGTACTGAAAGACTGGTTATTCCCCGGCACCCGCTTTATTGACGGCATCCGCAGGCCAGCCGCGGGAGACAATAAGGTGTATTCCGTCACTGTGTCCTGGGCACCGCAAGTAGCACGGCTCCGTGGAGACAATAAGGTGTATGTCGCCACTGTATCCTGAGCACCGCGATAGTGCGGCTCCGTGGAGTGGGGACACCTAACGAGAGCGACGGGATCACCGTCGCTGGTCTCCGCGAAGGCACATTCCCAGATCATGAGCATGCTTCCAACGAGAATATCCACGCACCAGAGCTATCAAGAAGACCTGGTCAACTGCTGCCGCTACAGAGGCGGAACAATGGCTCGCGACTCGTGAACAACGGCCCATTCAAGCAATGGGCCGCGCGGCTTTTTTGATCCGGTCGCGTGGATCTGCGAGAAAAAAAAACACACAACACACAGAATGATAACCGACGTTCATTAGTAACTGAGCTTATGACGGCTTTATTCTGATGATCACAGAGTGATCAGTCAATCACTTGATCACACTAAGTCAGCTGGTTTAGAAAATGCTGAAAACTTTGAACGCACCCAGATTTTTTGGGGCACATACAGATGGATCTAAAAGTTTAGCCGGCAGTGAAGTTCGTCCGGAGGTCGTTTTGTTGATAGCATTGCTCGGCTGACCTGGCAGGTAAGCGAGGTCTGGTCTGTTTGCAGCTAAGATCGGTACATTGGATACATGTAAGCATTCATCCGTGCTATTGTGATCCACGTGTACCGTGTACAATGGGAATGTTTGGTTGCATGTGTGTCACAGTCGACTGGCTTCACGCCTGCATAGCTTTCATAGCGCCCATCTCTCCTGCTTTAGGCCCCTGCGGCTTGTGTTGGTGACTGGTTTATTAAAAGGGGGTTTGACTCGATGTCACTGCGAGCAGGTCCGCCAGAACCGGGTGCTGTTTCACGCTTTCTTGCCGCTTTATGCAGTATGGAATGGTGTTTTTTTTTTAGCATCGCAATATCGCGGAACGACCAATGCTGATGAAGAGCCTGCGTGCAAATGACCAGAAAACATTGCAACATAAGCAATTAAAGAATTGTACCACCTGTGACCAAAACTGCATTGTGATAAATCAGCCGATCACAAACATTTAAGACGACCAATCACGATATTAGCCGAGATGGGCCGGGCCGCTACGGCTGCGGTCTTTGCGTGATTAACATAGCATGCTCGCCCTACGACCTCGCAAGCAACGCAAACAGCTGGATGCGTATATAACCACTCCATTGGCACCATACACGTCGAACCATCAAGAAAGCAAGAATAGAGGCCTAGCAAAGTATTTCGGCCCAACACGCATGGTGCGTGCCTGCGCATTCTCTACCATATCGTCTAGATTGTCGCACAATCAGGTGGGGAGCTTGATTGGCTACACCTGCGCTTCCGAGCAAACTGGGGCAGTAGGGCCAATTTCACTGTTATCTGCGCGTGAACGCAAACAGAGTGCGCGCGACCGGGGAGGCCCCGGAAGGACCACGCAACCAGCGGCGCCCAGAGCGCATGGGCAGTACACAGTCCCGTCGGCCACTCTCAGCAAAACTACGCCAGTTTTTCAGACACCAGCCGGGGGTGCTAAAACGGGCTTTCAGTCACGAGGGAAGCGTCCGCCCTGCGTGCGAACTTACAGCGTCCCCTGGTCTCCAGAGGGCTCCGGTTTTGACGTCCAATCTCGGCGCAGCCCCGTGTCGAGCGATAGCTTCGTTTGGTTAGGATTAAAGCCGTTTAGGCCAGTAATGACCATTTCAGGGCTGTAGGATTAAGGCGAGAGGTCATTAATGGCGCACGCCTGCGGCCGCCGTGCGAGGCCTCCGCCAAGCAGCCTTACCCGGCACGGGGACCCTTCTTTGGTGCTTGAGCGCGCTCTCGGGCGGGGCTCGCGCGGCGAGGCTGTAAAGCCGGCTCACGGCTGGCAGCGAGGCCCGCTGAGATGGGCAGCTCCAGGATTCGGAATGACACGACGCAGCAGGAAAGCCCGCCCAATGACCAGTGAAGGTGGCTGGCTGGATGCTGATGGGAATGGCCCGATGCCACCAGACTGAGTTTGGCGCTGTCGGCACCGACACATTGACATCGTGGCGTGTGAAATCTCCAAAACACAACTGGACCAAAAATATCCGTCGACATCAATATGACATCAATTTATGCCACCTGATTGGTGTCACTCTGCGCCACCCGCGGCGGCCCGCCACGCGCGACACGGTTACCATCGCTCCACTCGGGACTTCCACCCCGGACCACCGCCACCGGGACCGCTACACCCCGGACCACCGTCGCCGGGGCCGCTCCACTCTGGATCATCGCCACCGGGACCGCTCCACTCGGGACTTCCACCACCGAGACCGCTCCACCCCGGACCACCGCCACCGGGACCGCTACACCCCGGACCACCGTCGCCGGGGCCGCTCCACTCTGGATCATCGCCACCGGGACCGCCCCACCCCGGACCACCGTCGCCGGGGCCGCTCCACTCTGGATCATCGCCACCGGGACCGCTCCACTTTGGACCACCATCGCTGGGACCGCTCCACCCCGGACCACCGCCACCGGGACCGTCCCCACCCCGGACCACCGTCGCCGGGGCCGCTCCACTCTGGATCATCGCCACCGGGACCGCTCCACTTTGGACCACCACCGCTGGGACCGCTCCACCCCGGACCACCGCCGCCGGGACCGTTCCACCCCGGACCACCGGGGTCGGCGTGGCGTGTCTGGGCCTCGTAAAGTCGGCGCGCCAACGAGCGGGCCGCCCAATGGGCTTGTTGATATAGGTCAGTTTGTGTTGGCGCCCGCCGAAAAACGCCGATGTGTGCCGGTCAAGGATCGCGATGACAAAAGGCAATATGACCTCTCAGACCGCTGGTGGCGCACTGGTACGGCGTGGTGATCTATGCATGGTCGCAATTCATGAGCGCAGATGTAAGACCTTCGTGTAGACGTACTTATTGCCTGGTGTACTTGATGTAGGGCGGCATGCCGATCATCAGATGCTCGTCCGCTCCCGCGGGATTTACATAAAAACGTGGCATGTGTTGACTTCTAAATATAGCTGAACAAAAAACATTCGTCTGAGTGCGAGTGAGACTGAACTAACAAATATCACTAAAAGTACGAAATTTTACAATGTGATTAAATTCACCGGATGGCCAGGACATACAGTGAACAGCAAGAAACAGATCTTATTTTTACCAGTCGCCCTGAAATGACAACCTCTATATTCCTTAATTACCAATGCCATCTCCAGCACGTAACACCGTCTGCCTCCGTCTCTGCGTAACGTCACCGGGCCGGGCCTGACGTGACGTCATGGGGCCGGGCCTGACGTGACGTCGTGGGGCCGGGCCTGACGTGACGTCATCGGGCCGGGCCTGACGTGACGTCACCGGCCGGGCCTGACGTGACGTCACCGGGTCGGACCTCACCGTTCCGTGCCCTTCTCCTGGGTGACCTGGTACTGGAGCGGGGTGAGCCGCTTCCTCAGGGCGGTGCGGTCCAGGCTGAAGGCGTCGCCAGCAGGCGCCTCGACCTTCTTCGGTGACCCCTGTCCGCTGGCGCTCGCCGGCTGGCTCATCGTCTGGCGAGCGAGAGCGTGGTCAGAGGCATGCGTGAACCGCCGGCTCCGCAGCCTGGGGTGACGCGCAGTCACACCGGCCAATGACGTACGAGTTGTCGCACCGAAACATGACGCGACAACACAGTCGTGAGATCCTGGCGGCTGTCGAAACGGCTGGCACGTGACGGGCGGCTATGACAGCGGAAAAGTGACAAAAACTCATCACGTTGAGCTTGCACAAAAGTATGGAAACTGCGTCAACTGTGGTCATTAGCGTGGTAAGCACCGTACCCACCACGCAGTTGACGCCTCCAACAGCACAGACAAGCCCTCTCCGAGGCGAGTCGATTAGTGTGCGTACAAATACAGGTGGGAGGTCTTTGGTTCAGACCCGACTTTGGCAGACTTTCCCTCGACTAGCTCCTGCCCAGGAGAGACAGCGAACGGAGAGTGTACGCCCTGCCGCGGGGCTAACACTGTACCAGCCAGCACCCGCGGCAGTGGGTCCACAGTCGTGATCTGCCTTTCCATGTACCCCACGGTCTGGTGGCCCAACTTGATGACCCGGCCTCGCTGTCCTCTGTCGCCGGAGCGGCAGACACCAGAGCAGTCCCTTGGCCACCGGGCCCAAAAGATCGGCATTGGCGGCCGCTGTGTGCGTTACACCGGCATCCTTACAGCAAGCGCGCCGTCCAGGCTGTTCCGCGGCGGTGAAAGAAACAAAACCCCTGCCGTGCATATATATTGTGCGGTGTTTCTGTGCCCGTGTATGCAACCAGACAAATGCCCTGGGCGCGAAATATATCCAAAGACCAACACAGACAATCGAGACATTTAGCGGCGCAAGCCCACACCCGTAATCTCCAGCTATCCGGACAGCGGGACAGCAGAGGAAAGGACCACAGCTGTAGACCGTGGGCGGACTGGGCGCGCTCCCGGGCAGCGGGACAGCGGAGGAGAGGACAACAGCTGTAGACCGTGGGCGGACTGGGCGCGCTCCCGGGCAGCGGGACAGCAGAGGAGAGGACAACAGCTGGAGACCGTGGGCGGACTGGGCGCGCTCCCGGACAGCAGGACAGCAGAGGAGAGGACAACAGCTGTAGACCGTGGGCGGACTGGGCGCGCTCCCGGGCAGCGGGACAGCAGAGGAGAGGACAACAGCTGGAGACCATGGGCGGACTGGGCGCGCTCCCCTGCCACCAGGCCGACAGGCCGCCGTCCGGCTCCGGCCGCTGGCCATCCCGGCCTCCGGTTTGGTGGCTGCCGAGCCTGCTGAGCGCGGCGCCAGCGTCACCACTCGACGGCTGCGGACGGGTGTTGACCGGCACGGCGCTAAGTCACCGGTCAGCTTCCCCCGGCGCTCGGATCGGTGACAGGATGTGCCAGGCCTGGCGGCCGGTGACCGGCGAGTGAGCCGACCGGAGGGCACTGACGTCTGGGTGAGCCGACCGGAGGGCACTGACGTCTGGGTGAGTCGAGCGGAGGGCACTGACGTGTGGGTGAGTCGAGCGGAGGGCACTGACGTGTGGGTGAGTCGAGCGGAGGGCACTGACGTCTGGGTGAGTCGAGCGGAGGGCACTGACGTGTGGGTGAGTCGAGCGGAGGGCACTGACGTGTGGGTGAGTTGAGCGGAGGGCACTGACGTCTGGGTGAGTCGAGCGGAGGGCACTGACGTGTGGGTGAGTTGAGCGGAGGGCACTGACGTCTGGGTGAGTCGAGCGGAGGGCACTGCCCTTACCCATGCGGAAAGGAGCGCCCAAACTCAGAACAAGAGCTCACGGGTACATACCAGGGCGGTCTGGGATGGATCCGTGCTTAAACCCTCTGGCTTTTCCTCGTAAACTGCTTCACAAACCTCCAGTGCAACTCTTCCTCCCTCAGAACCGTCAATGTCCGAATGCAAAGAAAAGTCACAAAAAGCACACAAACAATACACCTGGAGCGCAAAGCACGCGGTTTGTACTGGCACGGAGGCGTCCGCGCCACGTGACCGTCATCGGGTGCCGGTGCTGGGCGCGGCCGCCTTGCAGCCCGTGCGGGAATGTCACAGCGTGACGCCACACCTGGCCACGTGCCAAACCGACACTCGTGTGAAGCCCACAGAACAATGGCGCTCTCCCGTGGCGACAGTCGTGGCCCGCGCTTCCTGCGAGACCGGCAGGCGCGGTGGTCACGGCTTCCCAGCGCGGAGAGGGCCGACCGGGACTGGGCAGCTATAGCCGGCGCCCGAACAAGACTGGGCAGCTATAGCCGGCACCCGACCGAGACTGGGCAGCTATAGCCGGCACCCGAACAAACCATGCAGCTGCACAAGACCACAATTAGCGACAGCGGCACTGGCCTGTTTCTCGCTTGGGTGAGTCCGTCTAGCTTGCCGGCGCGATACGCTTGAAATCTTGCTAATATCGAACCGCTCCGGGTTCATCTTCCGCGCCATTGATCAGCTCCGTAATTTTCATATAGCTAACATATATTCTGCAGCAGTTGTTTCGACCATTGGCGCCCAAAGCCAGATATTTGCCCGGCTGCCCGATGGCTCGACACGCACCCAAGCCCGCGCCCGCCGCGCTGCCGCCGGTCGGAGAGGAGGGTGAGTCGCTGACGATCTGGCGGAGGGACGACGGCAGAGGGGAGGACACGCGCCGCGGGCCAGCGACCGCCGCTCAGTGCCGTCCCCGCCGGCGACCAGAAAGGGGGGGGGGGTCCCGGGCCCGGGGCCAGCACGGTCGATACCGACACAAGTGCGGCCCCTGTCGCGCCCGCGCGGTGCCCGGCCGGCACCCGGAGAGCCGAAGCAGCCGCCAGCGAGGGAGCGACGCGCCAGGTGACAGCAACCGGCGCCGCTGGCATGGAGGCCCGTCAGCACAGGTGGAGCTTGTCGTGTGGGTGGGCGACAGGAGCGGAAGGAGGTCGCCAGCGAGAACACGTGAGGAACGGCACTGAGGTGACTGACATCTGGCCAGGAGCTTTTTAAAGCGAACAGCTGCATATGGGGATACAAATGTGCGACAAATGATTCACAGTGTGAAGTAAATATGTTAAATGGGTGAGCACTGACAACAACAAAGGCATGCGAGTCATGACCCCGAGCCCGCCCCGGATCTGGGTCACTGTTGCTGCGTGCACGGTGTCCACTGGTTTTCGCCGGTCGCCCGGGTCACGAGCAGCACGGCGCGCCGGTCCAACGCCGCTTTTTGCGTCACGATCGGTCGCACCGCCGGCGTCACGCACCGTGACCGCACGTGCACAGACTGGGCTCCGGTGCGGCGAGCGCAGGACGAGCCCGGCGAGGCAGCGGCGGGCAGAGGCCAGGACGCAGAGAGAGATAGATAGGGAGAGAGTGGAGGCAGCGAAGCGAGGAGCCGACGGACAAAGGGTAGAGCTCCGCGGCGGGGGGCCGGACGGATCGGGGCCAGCAGCAGCGACGCACAGGGCGGACGGTACTGCGGATGGGAGAGGGGCGGCAGAGAGCGAGACCGCCACGGCTGCAAGGCGCCATTTGGGAGGGGGGGGGGGATGCTGACATTCATGGGAGCAGCGTAACAAAGAGCGAGACAGACGGGGGATGGCAGCAGTGTAGCGGATGATAGAATGTCAAAAAAATGAAAAAATAGGAGCACAGTAGAGAGCAAAAAGCACTTCTCAGAATTTATGAAAAGTTGTCATATCTTCGCAAAAGCCAGGACTGCAACGAGATCCAACACCTACCTCAAAACAAAACGTTTCTGTCCCCAACATTACCGTAAAGGGATTGAGCCCACTGAAATGCTGTTCAGCTGCACGTTAAGAACTTTCAAATGTCTCCTGATTACCTTTTACATTGCAATACTCTTTTTACGCTTTGACCACTACAAATACAATATGAGGAGCGCTAAGCAAAGGCGCGGCCAGATGCGCTTACCGCCGTAGTTTTGGCTTTCGCATAAAACACGGGTACTTAGGTTTCTTCTGGTGAGAGCTGACTTAGTGCCGCCCCCACCCCATACAAAATCATTGCCGCTCCCTTTGCGGCATAGTGCGGATAGACATGACACCTACGAAAGTCTTGGTATTACGGCACAGTCCCGGCAGAGCGCAGCGCTGGTATTACGGCACAGTTCCGGCAGAACGCAGCGCTGGTGCAGCCGAGCTGTCATCAGCGGGCGGGTTGACCAGATAGGCAACCGATGGATCTGCGTTGTGTCAGGCGATGTCAGGTCTCCTGGCACGGCACGGCACGGCAGACGACCGTCAGGTCTCCTGGCACGGCACGGCACGGCAGACGACCGTCAGGTCTCCTGGCACGGCACGGCACGGCAGACGACCGTCAGGTCTCCTGGCACGGCACGGCACGGCAGACGACCGTCAGGTCTCCTGGCACGGCACGGCACAGCAGACGACCGTCAGGTCTCCTGGCACGGCACGGCACGGCAGACGACCGTCAGGTCTCCTGGCACGGCACGGCACGGCAGACGACCGTCAGGTCTCCTGGCACGGCACGGCACGGCAGACGACCGTCAGGTCTCCTGGCACGGCACGGCAGACGACCGTCAGGTCTCCTGGCACAGCACGGCAGACGACCGTCAGGTCTCCTGGCACGGCACGGCAGACGACCGTCAGGTCTCCTGGCACGGCACGGCACGGCAGACGACCGTCCCGACGTCAGAGACAGCTCGTGGCTCGTCCAAGCAGCTGACCTTGAGGACTGGCCTCAACACAATGGCGTAGTTTGTCCACCATTCAGCATTGTTGCCGGTCGCCTCACGGGAAAAGACACGGCGGGCAGGTTGCAACGCCGCAGCTGACGCCTCTAGCAAAGCGCGTGGGATGAACTTCGGGTCTCCTGGAGAACTGCCGGAAATGCGGGCTGTTTAGGCAACCACCGAACAGCATCTAGCCAGGCTGGCTGGTTTCCCATAATCCACTCGACCCGCTAGTCAGGTGTAAAGGTCAAAAGCCACTGACGAAACACAACGTTATGCGAACACAAAAGCCGCAGCTATCAGCTAGCTCTCATCCCTTACCTAACCTTGTGCCAGCTG